ATTTGAATACATTAAAGTTAAAATTATAGTCATAGATAAAAATAGTTTTTTTTTTCTTTTCTTTTGCAAGAAGTTAAGGTAGAATTGACCGAAATTAAGCTTGCATAGCTTGAAAAAATTGATAAAAATTTAAATAAAATTAAGAATTAATTTTAATCACATATTTTTTAAAATTCACGACTTTTATCAAAATATAGTAAAATTTTGATTTTTAACTCCACTAAATTAAGATGGAAGATTTAATTGTATATACCTAGGTTGATGTTTCAAAATTGCTTTGAGATCATCACTCTTGTTTAGATGATTAAACTATGTTGAATCTACCAACCCATTACACGAACAAAATTCCCGCTATGGGAAAAAGCAAGATGTTGGCTAAAGATAATATGATACTCAATTCATGTCGTGTTTGTTTCATTTGGAAAGATGACAAATTTTTTGATAAAAAAGATTCTATTTTTCTTGTTCTTCTGTATAATAATAACTTACAAAGAGAATCAAGTAGAATTGACTTTAGTGAGACCTTGCCTTGATTCCTCTCCCATTCTAAAAGAGCAAGAGCAACTGTTGAATTACAAGACAGACTCAATTATAGCATCAATTATTGAAAATCCAGTTGAAACATTCCTGAAATACCAAGCAAAAGAACTGATGAAACAAACTTCCAATATACCTACCTCTCAAAATTGAATTCCTCTACATATTTCCCTTTATATATATGTGTGTGTGTGTACTTTTAACCTCCTTCAATAAATATCCCAACAGGAACACATGAAAAGCAGCTCTACATCTTACACATCAAAACTATAAATATAGAAGCAATCCTAATAAGGCCTCGTATAAAATCATCTTCATCCTGACACACCACTCGAAAATGAAGAACATCTAGCTACCCACATGATACAACAAAACACTTCACAAACATCTTGTCAACTCACAAATGCAAATACTGCACCAATGATAGTTTGCTAATCCAAAGAATGTTTATACATGAAGTTGACAAACATACAAACGAAAAGCAAAAACATGCGTAGTTGTTTGAGAATTTAAAATATGTATTTTGAATCTCTTTTGCATGTTTATGTCCACAGTTCTGTAAACCTGACTTGTAACAACTCTATTTATCATATTAGATATCGCTTGTTATACATATAAATATGTTAAAACCAATGTATCCATATATGACGTGTAACACCTCTGCTTTTGCTTCATATTAATACCAAATTTTATATAATTCAATGTAGTTTTCATTCAAAATATGTTTCATTTTTCACTAAAATCCTGCGTAACCAAAATATTTATTTATCCAAAATTAGATCCATCTGCTAGATTCACTCCTTACCCCTCTCTCCGGCAGTACGCAGTTACTGTGTCGTTTGACTTCATTCTTCTTTCTTCATCCTTTTTTCTGGTTTTTTGGCGTCGCCCAACAAAACACCCTCAATCAATAACAAATTCAATACTAAAAAACACAATTTGATTTCAATTCATTCAATAATGGCGGCGTCAAGGCTACCTGATGCGGATCTTGAGGGCATTGAAGGCGTTCGAATGACGTGGAACAACTGGCCACGGACCAAGGTGGAGGCATCCAAGTGCGTGATCCCAATTGCTGCATCGATCCAGCCGATCCATCCCCATGTCGACCTCCAAGTCCTCCCGTATCCTCCGCTGCGCTGCAAGACGTGCTCCGCCATCCTCAGTCCATATTGCCGCGTTGATTTCACTGCCCTTATATGGATGTGCCCTTTTTGCTATCAGCGCAACCATTTTCCGCAGCATTATCAATCCATTTCACAGACCAATTTACCTGCGGAATTGTACCCTAATTTCCCTTCAATTGAATACACCATTCCCAGTTATCCCCAAAACCCACAGAATTTTAACACGTCGACGACAGTCTGTCCCATTTATCTGTTTGTTTTCGATACATGTTTGCTCGAGGAGGAGCTGGATTTTGCAAAATCTGCCTTGAAGCGTGCGATTGGAATGCTGCCGGACAATGCAATGGTTGGGTTTGTTTCATATGGTACGCAGGTACAGGTGCACGAGCTGGGGTTTTCAGAGATGTCCAAGGTTTATGTGTTTAGGGGATCGAAAGAGTTGTCTAAAGATCCGGTCTTGGAGCGGTTGGGCCTAGGGGCGGCCGGTAGACGAGTTGGGCCTGGTATTCAGAAGGGTGGTGACGGCCTAAATCCTCTGGGCGGGGTTCCTAATTCCGGGATTAACCGGTTT